TCATCATCCTCATCATCATAGTCATCATCCTCATCATCATCATCATCATCACCATCCTCATCATCATCCTCATCATCATCATCATCATCCTCATCCTCATCCTCATCATCATCATCATCCTCATCATCCGCATCATCATCCTCATCATCATCATCATCCTCATCATCATCCTCATCATCATCCTCATCATCCGCATCCTCATCATCATCCTCATCATCATCCTCATCATCATCATCCTCATCATCATCATCATCATCCTCATCATCATCATCATCCTCATCCTCATCCTCATCATCATCCTCATCATCCTCATCATCACTCATCATCCTCATCCCACATCAAAATCCAATCCATTTCATCAATCATCATCCTCCTCATCATCCGCAATCATCATCACCAATCACTCCTCCCTCATCATACCATCATCCCCTCATCATCATCACTCCGTCAATCATCATCCCTCATCCTCTCATCATACCATCCACTCCTCCTAACCCTCCTCCTCATCCTCACATCATCATCACACTCACTCCTCATCATCATCTCCTCATCCACCTCATCCTCATCAACCACCATCACTCCTCATCATCAATCATCAGCAAATCCTCATCATCCATCCTCAAATCAATCCATCATCTCAACTCCCCTCACTCATCATCCTCATCCGCCATCCACTCATCATCAAGCAGCATCATCAATCCTCACTCACCTCATCATCCAACATCACTCCATTCATCAACAGACCATCGCACCCTACACCAATCAACACTCATCATCATCATCATCATCATCATTCTGTTTTTTCCCAATTTTAAGACATTCGATATGTTCACATCTTGCTTGGCTCCCTGTCTCGCCGGGTCGCCGGTTTGAGCCCCGGCAACGCCTCGGTCACCGGGTGCCGCGACGGCGACGGCGAACGCGCGGAGCGCGGGGAGCGCTGCGACTCGGGAGCGCTGGCGCTGGCGTTGCTGGGGGAGCTCTCGGCTTTCCTGCGGCAGCGGTATATAAATACCATTTCACTATTGGATTATGACTATTGGAGGAGTACCCCCCTAATTAATAAACCATGGTTTATCAATCCGGGGTTGACATTATCGTTGTTTATATGTTCTGATAATTTCCCATACTTAGATGGGCCATGGGATTGGCTAAATGGTTAGCAACTGGGGATATAACCCCCTATATCCCAATTATAATCCATTCACTAACTAGTTAACTAACTCCATGGCCCATCTAAGCAAGGGGTACCCAATAGCTGGATGGTTTAGAATGGAAAATCCATAAATGGATGATTTATGGGTAAAAACCTCCAATTCCATTGATTCTTATCTTCCCCATATAATCCCATTGATAATCATCATATTCCCATATATATATATATATATATATATCCATTTAAATATGATTTTCCATGAAACAAACCATCTATTTTGGGGTACCCCCATTTATATATATATATATATCCCTATGGATCCAAACAGTGTCTGAGAAGGTACTTAACCCTCCAAATCATATCCCAAACACTTCCTAAGAAGGTACTTGGATCCATAGGGTATATATATATTATATATACCAGTATACCACGTAAATGGAAACCTCCAAAATCTGCCGTAAAAATCTGCTTCGCGGCCGAGCATCGCCCGCTGCACCAAGCGCTTCTTGGCGCGCTGCTGCGCCTCCTCGGCGCGTTTCCGCGCCGTCTCCTCCTGGTCCGCCTGGCGCCGCAGCCGCGCCTCGGTGGCTTCCGCCACCTGGGGAACGGCTGAACAAAAAGGGAGGGTGGAAAACCAACCGGGAAAAATGGTGGAAAATGGAAAAAAAAACATGGGAAAAACCATGGTTTAATGGTTTTGGATTTGTTTGAATCTAAGACTCTAAGAGTTCTGGAAGTATGTTTGATAAGACTTGTTGCTATGTTTTACTGGTGTACGATTTGAACAAGGGTTATCCCGTTGTCAATCCCAAGAGGATGCATCTGAATTGCCCTTGTAAGTTCGGACTTCATGGTCCACAACTCTAGCGGTTGGAAATCTACAATACTGTATCACCATCCCGAATCACCATCAATCAAACCTAGTTTCATCCATCTACAAATCATCAAATGTATCTGGTTGGTGGTTCTTCGCCACCCCTCTGAAAATGATGGAGTAAGTCAGTTGGGATGTTCTGAAATTCCCAACATGATGGGAAAGTCATAAAAGCCATGTTCCAAACCACCAACCAGTTATATTCTCCCACTATTAACCATTATCAACCATTATTAACCATGATTAACCAGGTTTATCCCATATGATTATCTTGCGGTTCTTGATCAAATCTTCATATGAACAACCCTTCATTGGGCCGCGGATATCCATCCATGTGCTCTGTGGCTTATTGTGGCTTCAACGCAGCTGCAAGGGTCAAAAGGGATCATCGTAGTGGGTAAAGCAAAATACATTATAATACACACATGGTGGTTTCCTAAGTCATGGGGGTACCCCCAAATCATCCATTTATACAGTACTGTAGATGGTATTTTCCATTATAAACCATCTAGCTATTGGGGTACCTCCATTTTAGGACACCTCCATATAACTATATAACATAACTAAAAAACACCTGGGAAAAAAACAACAACATGATGTAACCATGATTTAACCATCCAACACGTGGGAGTTTTTTATGATTTTCCATGATCAAACATTGTCACAACCCGCGTGGGAAAATATATGGCCCAAGGATGGTCCATTCATCTCTAGAGTTAGCTATCCTCAAAACATGAATCTTCCGGTTAGACACAATATCATAAACCTTATATTGATCATATATGGATGACAACCTATGAACATTCATAGATCCATAAACCTATCCATATATCCATAGGTCATAGATCCATAAACCTTATATGGACATATATGGATCCAAGAGGATCCAAGATGATCCAAGATGATCCATATTCATATGGACATCATTTCCATCATGTTTACACTGAACATGTAGGGCCACCATGTTCTTTTTCACATTCAAGGCCGAGTTGAGTCAACTCGTTCCCATACAGCTCGATCTCCCATTCTTATCCCTTGGATCCATCCCATGAATGAATCAAGATTTTTCATCACCATTTTCCACTCGAATTCCACGTTTGAATCATCTAATGTCAACCCCGGATGAATAAACCATGGTTTATTAATTAGAGGGGTACTCCTCCAATAGTCATAATCCAATAGTGAAATGGTACCCCAATTAACCAGCCTGAGGGTTTATGAATCCAGGGTTGACATTATAATCCATAGTAAAAATCAATAAAAATCGTTTTTTCATGATGAGTTCACCATTTTTCAGGCCACCCCCTGGCCCCAATTTTTCACCACGGTCACCCGTCGTTCCAACTCCTCCCGCGCCGCCGCAATCCGGCGCCGCGCGTCCGCGCGCGCCACCTGGGCGTCGGCTCTTCCGGGCCCCGGGGGCCCCGGGGGCCCCGGGCCCGGGACGCGCAGCGCCGGCAGCTCGGAGGTTCGCCTTGGAGGTACTTAGATGGGCCATGGAGTTAGGGAAAACCAGTTAGTAAATGGATTATTTCATTGGGATGTAGTTTATATCCCCAGTTACTAACCATGAATCGCTAATCCTATAACCCACTTAACTAGTTGGATATATTGGGATATAAGTAGTTTATAATTTTATAACCCACTTACTAGCTATAGTTAGCTAATCCCACGGCCCATCTAAGTATGTGAACAGGGAAAAAACATGTTTTTTTCGGAAAATCATCTAGAAATTGCTAATTATGTTCCACATCCATATTATTTTAAAGTTTACCCGACAGGGGATACGCAGCGTTTTAAACTGATGCTGAAAAAATCCCATTTGCCCACTATATTCATCTGGTTGGTGGTATACCTACCCCTCTGAAAAATATGAGTTCGTCAGTTGGGATGATGAAATTCCCAATATATGGAAAGTCGTAAAATTCATGTTCCAAACCACCAACCGGATTTCCTGATCCTCAAGTATCTTCTGTTATTTGGGGATATTTGGGGTGATTTAGGGGGTTAAGAAGCTTCTCAGGTAATATTTGGATCCATTAGGGACAGTTTTACCCGGGAATACACCATTCTTACGGGTACCTTTTGAGTGTCTTGATATGGTAGAACCCCCCCACAGTCACGGAATCTCACAGTCGTTGTAGCCAAGCAGCCGAGACGTAGGAACTGGCTCTGGTTGTGCCTCTCCTTGGTGGATAACACACCTTGAGCCTACGAACATGTAAGGACTGAAACTCCACCTGCACCTTGGCGATTTCCAGTGATTTCCAAACCATCCTTGGGACTTTCATGTCATCTAGTTTTGTTTTTCGGTGGTATGAATTCTGGTGGTTTGAGACCATACAACCCAAATTCTGTTTCAATGGGCTTCACGCTCCGAAGTAATCAATAGTTAAAACAAGAGACAAGAATTGGTGTCCCTTTTTGCTGATCTACCAAAAAATGAAGGGACCCTCCAAAACAACTTGAAATACGCCTTTTGGCTACAGCAGGGTTCTTCAATCACTATATGTTGCTGATGAATATGGATTCATCTCCCTCCCTGGCTGGTTCAAATCCTACAATTGCCACTTGCTTCATACAGTAAATGATTACATATGATTACGTTCCTTTCTAATTTATAGTATATGTTGACATATTTTGAACATATTCATAAAGGAATATTTCGCCCCATGTGCTAGTCCCCCAGTCTTTTGGGATCAACCCATCACATTTCTTCTTGGTAAAACCACCATCAACCCCAAGCCAAACAGGCGGGCCCCGCTGTTGGATGGGTTACATGCCATACTTCATGGCTAAAATCCCTATGGCACCCCGGGGTCGTTCTAGATTTTACAAAGGTGAATATTTCATTATATAATTTAGTCTAGTTTGATGGCAAAGAAACTAATATTTGGATAGATTTGGTTGGTTCAATCACCAGCTTGATGTTTAACCAAAACAACTGCATGTTTAATGCTTTGTCTCCGGTCCCATCCGCTAATTACCCGGACCTTGGTAATGGTGACCCCAACTCTCACGCGTTGGTCGTAATACAGCCTTCTATCCATTACATATAATTGTATTATGATTATACACAGAACAATCACAGAACCATAGTTAAGCCATACTCATTGTACTTACTAAGCAACTTGCACATCTTGAAGGCCCCAAGATGTGAGCCAAGCGTCCAAAGTGAATCTCCGCACGCTGTACCTCTTCCGCCGACGCCGCCGCTTCCGCAACAGCTCCGGGCACAGCGATGGGTGGCAGCGTATCAACCTATTGGATTCTATCCCGTGTACAGGATGTCTTTGGAATGAAATCCCACACTTGGTTACACATTCAACATGAATCATCATGAATCATCAAGGCCTGTGGCGAATCCCATGGCGTCCATGTATCTTGTGACTTAACTGGTGCCCAGATTACCATCTGGTTATGACTAACAGTTCGCCATGGAAAATCCCTGAATTTTCAATGGAGCTTTCTAGCTGGGAAAATCACCTATTTCTATGGGCCATGGCTTCCATGGCGAACTGTTAAATAACAAGAGGGTACATCAGATTACACCCAACCATCTGTGTCAGTGCCTGAAAATCAAACAGCCCAGCCACTCCAGGTGTTTCCTGCTGAGCAGCCGGCGTCCCACTGTCCTGATGGCTCTCTGTCAGTGTGGTATATCCATCCATATTATGTATATGTACATATTATGTATATTCATATACATATTAAATACACATTGGACACATATTATAAACATACTAGACACATATTATATACATGTGATATACATATTACATACATATCATATATAATGTATGTATGTATATATATATATATATATTATATATATACATATAATTATTAATTGTCATATCATATATTAATATCTATTTAAATGATATTATTTGATATGTTTCAAACATGTTCAAACCAACATAAAAAAACAATTTTTATCGCAGTGATATTCCCATACTTCCCCATCCAAAGCTCAAACTCTCCAAGCTTCTGCATTACCTTCGACCCCTCCGGATCGATTCTCAGCACCGGCTGGCGCCAGCTCGGGGCTCGCCATGTTGACGTCCCCGGTGAAACGAGAGCGTTTCAGAGCGAAGTAGGTCCCCTCTTGTGATATCTGCTGGTGGTTGAAAAAAACAACGGTCACTTGCATGACATCCAAATGATGCATATATATATATGTGGTATGTATGTTATATAAAGTTGCGAGCATTTACAGTGTATGTATTATATGGCAGCCCAGTTTTTGTCAGCACAACATATAGCCATCGTCCTTAAAACAGTGAGATATACGCATGATATATCGTGATATATCCAACAGGTTTACTTAGTGCAGCAAAAATGTTGCAAAACATTGAACCTTAAATGATCCTTTTCAGCGGCTTCACATGGTGTGAAACCTCCACTTGGACATGGGGAAGTCATTGGGGCACCCGAGCACCCTCTGAAACTTGAAAACTGCGGAGACGGCGGGGATCAAAACAGTCTCAGTGACCGCAAACTAGACACATGTTGATGCGGATCTGTCTGACAGTGGTGTATATCAAAAAAGTTGTGTATGTCCATTGGGAAAGTATTATGGGTCAACCAATTTTCAGAAAAAGCCAACGAGCGATTTGAAGTCGCTCGGCGATTTGAAGGGACATATCTGAAAAATCTGTCATGCTAGAGATGAACATACAGGTTGTCGCAAACACATGCAAACGCGTTCTTGTTGCGTCTTCATGCAAATTGTGTGATTTCATCAGAATATTCCCTATGGATTCTCCTATAGAACATTCCCTATAGATTATCCTCTCAATAGTGGATTAACCAATAGTAAAAATAAAAGTTCTTGCCGAATTCCAATTATTATCCCCATGGAAATGGTGATCTGGAGGATCTGTTAGGCCCATTTTCAGAAACCCAATTTAGCCTCCAGTAGACTCACCGTAGCTATTGAAACTGGCCATTGAAATCGTGGGATTTCCCTATTGACAATGATGGTTTTCCATAGCCATGTCAGTTTACCAGAGGGGAATGTGTTCATCTGGTTGGTGGTATACCTACCCTCTGAAAAATATGAGTTCGTCAGTTGGGATGATTATTCCCAAGATATGGAAAAATAAATGTTCCAAACCACCAACCAGATTTCCTGATCCTCAAGTATCTTCTGTTATTTGGGGATATTTGGGGGTGATTTAGGGGGTTAAGAAGCTTCTCAGGGGTTCCAAACCAACAACCAGTCATGATTCGGTGTCTTCCACTTCAGATCAGCCCGTTCTTTTTCGGAACTTTGCCTGTCGCCACGGCAAATCGGGGCTCTTCGTGCTCCTTGGCCCAACCTTGGCGGCGATGTTGTGAAGGTTGAAATACCGAGGTGAACTACAGTTATGGCCATTTATTAGTTATAACTGGTTATAGATAGGATTATACATTCTATAAATGGGGTTATAAGTACTTATAACTGGTAAAGGGCCATAACTGTAGGTTAACTAGGCTTATGGTGAATCAACCAACACGGCAATACTTACTACTATGGTTCACTAGATCAATTACCCTGAGAAGCAGCTAGCTTTGTGGTGAGTTCTAGCTCATTAAAATTGATTGCAAACTACAAATTCTAGTGTATTTGTAGTTCCCCCAGTTATTCCCCTAGTTATACACTATAGTTTGATGGTGAATCAATAACGTATAAGGGGACACCACCTTGGTATCGACAAAGAGATTGGTCACTATGTTGCTGCAAATGTGCATGATCCACATGGCATGATCCCGGAAAAACTGATGGGCCACTCTTGGCAACCTCAAAAATCAAAAGCTGCAAAGCTAGAAACAATGCACTGCAGTAGCAATGAGGTGAAATCAATTGAGATCGTCCGTTACATCATTGGAACGCTTCGCCATCTGTTCGGGTGCCACCACAATGTCTTCATGCTTTCATCATTTTTGCTCTATTAAAATCACCTGTTCTAGAGGGGAACTATGTTCCAACCATTTCAAGTGATGTAGCGCCTCGAAATCGTTCGGAAATATCTAGGGACCCTTTCATTTTGAGGTTGAATCGCAGGTTTCAAACCCATCCCAGATGCTTCATGCTGCTGGAATATCTACCTACCAACAAACCCCAAAATTCACTTTTTAATGTGGCCGTAAATCTTCCAGCACCATGGGGCATTTGGGCATATTACCCTCTGGTAATCGGACAGTTTACGGGAAGTCACCATTGTTAAAATAGTGAATCGTCGAACTAAATGTGCTAAATGGGCCGCCTATACCATACGTACGTAGCTATGTAACAAAGTACCAGAGGCACCGCCCAAACGAACATAGAGAAAACTTGGGAAAGGACCTACCGGACCTACAAAAAGGTGCGGGTTTCTCTAGTTGGGTCTGTCCGAAAATAGCATACCCCCAAATTTGGTGGTTAATTAGTTGATGATCATTTTCCCAAAATGACCATTTTAGGGGGAAAAAACACTTTTGAGACATCTCAATACCATAGTGTTGCCATATGTAATCTCAGGAAAAATCCCCATTCATCCAGGAAAAATCACCATGTTGGTTGAATCACCATCCCTACTTTCCTGGAATATCTTGGAACATCCCATGGCTTTTAAAGCTTGGATCCCATGAAATGATCATCAAAATCCCATTTTTTTTCCAGCAATGGGTCCCCACCGTTGCCCCCCAACACTTCCCGGACACATCCAAGGTACGTAGGAAGTCTTCACTGTGCGCGCGGAAGACGGCGTAGCGGTACCTGCAACGAGGTCGGGCGACGGCAGCCCTTGCTGTCTTTTGTTTCTTGGGTTCAAAATGTGCAAAAAAAATAGGGAATTCAACTTTAAGAATTCTAACATATTTAAACCAACTTTAAGAATTCAACATGGGGATACAAGGAAGATGTCAAAGAAGCCAAGAAGATCACCTAAGTTACCAACTTTCATCGAAAATGGATATACTTCATGGAATGCAAAAGGCAAATGGCGTAAGAAATCTTAAAACCGTGATGTCATAAAATACCAGACATAATATGGATATAAAATGGATATACTTCTTGGTGTCCCATTCCAGTCTCCATTTTTGATCAGCCCGCCCAGCACACTCGAACTCCTCCTTTAGCGGAATCCTCAGGCACATGGTGATGGGCCAAAATCATGACATTTCTAGAAACCATGAGGAGCTAATGAATAATTATGGTTCTTAAATGCATAACTATCAATACTTCAATTGTGGTACTTAAATTATATATATATATATATATATAATATTTATAGAATATACATTGATTAAACCCATCGATTCTGCACGGGTGGCTTTGTCTGGACAGCAATGGCTGTTAGATTTACTGTGTGTACATATATATATATATATACACATATATATATACACATATGCAGATGCATATATATATATATATATACACATCTATATACATCTATATATAAAAAATAGAAACATTAGATCTATAGTTAATGGAGGTTATACATCAACTCGAACTTGAGGGGCACCACCTGGTACAGCCTCAAGACATTTCGATATGTCAAATATGTCAGTTGGAGGGTCACCACAGTACTGCTGTCTATCCTCACAAGATGCTTGGATTTGCTCAAGGCTTTCAAGGCTTCCTGGTACTTTCCGGGCACCTATCATCCACTATCATCCACAATCTTTAACTTCATACTGGATTCCCTAAGCACTTTCCATTACTTTCCCGGGCAAGTAACAAAAATCGATCATCCACAATCATCAACATTCCCTTTTTGGATTCCCTAAGTTACTAAGTACCTTCTCTCTGGGCACCTATCATCCACTGCCAAGCTCTTGCCAAGCTGCCGAACGCCCTGGTCGGTCCACCAGCATCCCTTCACTTGCTCCACGCGGCTCAAAGGCACGGCATTGCTGGGGTCCCAGGACCCCAACTCGTCACCTGAGATGGCTCGAAGGCTCGAAGGCTGGCAGGCTGCAGGTGGTTTATGATGGAACATGGTCATCTAACAAAACCAAACCAAGGGGTGTAGCATTGATTGATGTTAGCGAAACTGGTTGGGTGATTTTCACTGTGGATCCAAGTGATACAAGTACCTTCTTAGGAAGTGCTTGGGGTTCTAATTCAGGACAGAAAAAGTGTCTTCACAGGAAGTGTTTGGATCGGCTATGTTCATCCTGTTGTTGATTTCTATTTCTGGCATTGCTAAAGATGTAATGGGTGTTTGGCAAAACCCAGGAATGTGGTTAAAAGAATGTCATTTTTACCACCCATGACTGGGAATGGTAACCATACCACCTATTTATGGTGAATTTGGGGGTGGTTTATTATTGTTTTGCCAACATTAATGGAACATAAGGGGATGACTATCCCCTTTTACCTGAGGTCCTACAGGTAGGCACAACACTGAAGAACAAACTGTCAAGATTGGCTAGGACCCACAAAACCACACACCAATCCTTCACCTTAATCAGTTCTGTTAGCCTCCCGTGATCCTACATGGCTTGCTGGAGAATCCCACATTTAAATAAGCATTTATAGATGATTATCCCACCAAAGTCTCCATTGATTGCAGGATTTCCATCAATTTACATCAGTTTCATTGATTTTCCCATATTATTAACTGTGACTTCCCCACTTTCCCATGGTTATTTTCCGCTTCGCCATGTTTTATGACACCGGAGGCGACTTCTTTTTTTCGCCCGGTGACAACTGCCCACCACCTTGACTTCTTCGTCTGCAGCCACCTGGGTGTGTCGCTCAAGAAGTGGTGCCATGTGCTGCACCCGGTGGTTTATCATGGAAAATACTGGATTTAAGCATGAAAGTGGTGGAAAATGGTGGTTTAACCTATGCAAACTGGTGAACATGATTTGACCATGGAAAATGTGGCAAAATGCTCATTTGACCAACAAACATGGGATTTATAGCTGATTTATGTTAGATAAGTCGGCTTCTAATTCCAATAACCAGGCTTTACAGTAGATTTGTCGAACTAGGTCTATGACCAACTTATAATAACTAGGGGGACAAACTTGTGAGTATCATTGCTACAATAAAAATTGGAATCATCATTATATAATTATAGTGGTTATAGGATTATACTGTAAACTTTACAATGCTGGGCAACCACTATGGTCTCGGAAAAATAAAATAAAGCTAGTTTTGCTGCAGAACCCCCTATATACAGAAACATCTATTGACCAGGTCAATGGACAACATTCCCATATCTGCACTCCTCATATATATATAGTCATGCCTATAGCATCTATGTCCTATCAAGCGCTGGATATTAATTCAATAGTTCAACTTGATCAACAAACATCAGCTCTGTCCACCTGGGCATTGACCGTCCACCAAGCTTGCCCCAAGCTTCAACGTTCTCGGATTGTCCATTGCCATGAAAACCCAAATGGATGGTTTATTTCATGGAAAATGCCATGAAGCCATGGATGATGAAATGGGGTAGCCCTTTTTCAGAGAACCTCCACATGGCACTGAATTGGTCCCAATAAGTAAACAGACCTCCCATGGATTCCCCACATTGTGAACACATTGTGCGTTTCCACAGGAAGGATGGAAGTGAGGCTGACAACTTGATGCAAACTAAGCACTTCAACGATGTTTTTGATGTTTTTGATGTGCTTTGGAGTAGCAGTCGTTCCACGACCAAACCCAAAAAGATTCGGAAGCCGTGGCAGGAGTTTTGCTTTGGACAGTCATCCCCTCCAAGTTGATCTACCAGGTATCTGGTTGTTCTTTGAAGGTTCTTTGACGATCTTCTCTGGTTTGTGGGAAAAACCTACCATTGTGGTTAGTATACTGTTAATAATGGTTAATATATGGTTATTATATGGTTAATGATGGTTAATTAATAATAATCTGGTTGGTGGTTGAGCCCTACCCCTCTGAAAAATGATGGAGTTCGTCAGTTGGGATGATGACCTGCCCAACTGAATGGAACAATAATCCAAATGGTCCAGTCACTACCAACCAGTTCTCATAGAAATCATTTCCTATACCCTCTGGTAATTTAACATAGCTATAGAAAATCACTATTTTTAATAGGTAAACCATTTATAAATGGGTCATTTTCCATAGCTATGTTAGTTTACCAGAGGGTACCATGAATAATCAGACAAGGGGTTCCCACATTTCCTAAAAACCACTAATGATGGGAATCCCCTTGGAACCATGAAGGACTGCCAGACTTGGAGTGAAAAACGGAAGTTCTTTTACATCGAAAGGGTGAATCACCATTTGGAATCTGAAGATAAGTAGTACTTACCCGATAATCATCTGGATCCTCTTTTTCCTTAAACAATTGTCATTAGTGATGGGGATCCCCCGTTGACAAACCCCTTATTTCTGGACAAACTTCCGTGCCGATTTGTTGGATATCCCTTAAGGATCAGTTGCCGGTTGCCAAGCTGCATTGGTGCCATGCCAACGGAAAAAAACTTTCGTCTTCAGTTTGCTCCCGCCAGCCATCAGATCAAAGGGCTGCGCCAGCAGAGAAAACACCGTCTACGGTTACTACGGTTTATGGTTTCACCGCTGCAGAAAATTGCCGGGCTTCGAAGTCTGAAAACTGCCATGTCGCACTTCATTCAAATCAACTACAACAAATAAATGGACAAGTCTTGCTTAAATGGTTCTTTGTGCTGATGCCAAATTCGCCAAAATATAGGGTGATATGGATGCAACCGCTCCAGGTTTCCTCAAAGAGACGAAGTGAAACAGAAGTGGAATGATGGAACCGCTGCGAAATTTGGGCCTTCCTTTGCCTTGAACCGTGGCACTGAGGGCGGTTAAATCGAAGGTGTAACTGGTGACAGTGACACTGGGCGGAGTAAGCTTACCCTCTGGCAAACTAACATAGCTATTGAAAATGGCCATTTATAGTGGATTTATCCATTAAACATGGTGATTTTCCATAGTTATGTTAGTTTACCAGAGGGTAAGTCTTAAGTATGAAGTCTACCAAGGTTGGAACAATTGAAATAATTAATTGCATAAGTGTTGTTCTGGTGTTCTGGTTTAGCAAATGGTTCTGATGCGAAAAATCTAAGTCATGTTTACCGCCAGGTACAGTTCCATCCTCGGGCAACCCGCAGTCCAACCATCAAACAACCCAGCACTTCTGCGTAATTCGAGTGGTTGAAGAGAAGAGATAATTATATATATATATATCATGATATAATACACCATTATATATAATGTTATATATATATATCATTATATATATAACATTATATATATATATATATCATTATATATATATATATATATATCATTTTTACAATTATATATATATATATATATCATTTTTACAATTATATATATATCATTATATATATATATCATTATATATATATCATTATATATATATCATTATATATATATATATATCATTATATATATATATATATCATTATAAATATATATATATATCATTATATATATATATATCAATTATATATATAGGTACATATATTTACCTATTTTGCCCAAGATCTTATTCGAACAGTTGTCAGCAATGGTGCATTTCCCCCCCCCCTCTACGAAGATCCTTAATGGTTTGCCAATCTACACCTTGAAGCGGGGTTTGATCAGTAAAGAAAACAAAAAGCCAGCTGAAAAACCAATCTAAATACCATTAAATCACCATTGAATCCCATTAAATCCCAATTTAAATCCATTACTTCTTCACACTTGGGAACCTGCATGCGTCCAAGGCAATGCTTGCTCATCTTTCTCAGGAGACCATAGTCTTTTGTTGACTAGATTTGATGGCAACAAAACAAACCATAGACTAGACATGAGTTTTCCACTTGTTGATTACCCGGTAATAATCTGATAGTGACACGTTTAAATATATTCACTGCTACATAGCCAAACACTAAGCCTAAGCATCTACTATCATCTCTATATATTGACCATCAGTGTAATCAACATGAATCATATCTAAGAATTATATATTATTATATTTTACAGAATATTACACTATAGAAATGCTAGAAATCATGGAAAAACCTCATGGTAAATTGCAACAGCCTCCCCTTAGCTGCCAGTGTCCCCCTGCTGATCCACCGGGGACATCTTCCGGAGCCTTAGCTTGACGCAACACAGGCAGGCTCCCACCCCAGGTACCTGTAGGGGTGTAAATTGGCGAAATATCGTGGTAAAATTGCCGATAATTTAGCAATTTTAGTGGCTATACCATATTTTATAGTGCTATTATATATATATATATATCTATCTATCTATCTACAGGTGAATTCTGGGTAAATGAGCCTCACCCCAGTTCGTGTTCCCCCCTTGTGGCTATAATTTATACCTATAATGGATTGGAACAATTTACTGTTTTTTCTGACAAAATCCTGCAACAGTTGGGAACTATTGGCAAATATAAAAGAGGTGTTTAAACGAATTCCAAGAGATTGTGGACCCAACCGCATGAGATCATGCGCACAGTGAATTCGTTTAAACGAATTCCAAGAGACTGAGGACCGAGAATTCTGCTGCTAGTGACATCACCCTGGTGCTTCTTTCTCGCTCACCTGTTCCTACTACTCAAATCACTCAGTGTTACATTTGAGTGTTCCCGGCCGCCAACTTTCCACTGTGGAAATCTGTTTAGACGTGTTTAAACACGTGTTTAAACATGTTTAAATATCAAAGAAAGGTCACAAGATCCGACCCCTCCTGCCATGTCCAGAATCCGATGAATATGTTTAAACAGTTTAAACATACAGCCCCGAGCTTGTTTAAACAGTTTGATGTTTAAATGCTTCTTTTTTTAAGCCTGTTTGGAACGACAGGAAGCCTCCATGGACTTCGAGGATTTTCCAGCTTGCCATGTTTGGTCTTTATGGGGGGTTCTCAGTTCATGGATTATGATAATCTCCAATGTACTCTTGGTAAAACAATCACATATAACTTAAACAGCCAACTGGACTATTGAAACAGTGAAAAATTGAAGCATGCCGAAATAGT